ATTGTATACCTAAAATGTACCAATGATTAGAATGAATAATCGATAATGTAAAATAGGAAGAAAAGGTTCAAAGGGGTAGGGGTAGTGGGAAGGGCAGGGGTAGTGGGAAGGGCAGGGGAAAGAAAAGAAGGGAAAGAAAAAATGATGAGAAATGGACAAAATAGAAATAAAGTCTTTGTAAGTAGGGCAGGGTGGAGGGCGTGAAGGAAGGGCTAGGAATGGGGAAAAAATAAGAACCAAGATGCATTATATAAAGGTACAATTCCCAGTGAGGAAAAAAAAAAGAAGAGTTGCCTGGACTCTCAACATGTAGGATATTTTTGGTATCAACTTTTAGATCACAGAAAGCTGGAATCTCACTAGAGAATTTATAGATTCTGCCTATAAATGTATAGATTCTACCTCTCCTACCTTCTTTCTGTATTTTCCAAGTAATATTATATGTATGGAGCAACCAAATAGAATTCTCAGGACTTACTGGTATAGATAAGGGACTATCCTCTTTAGTTTTCAAAATGTATAAATGATGATAGTGATACCACCAACTATGTATTGAGATATTATTGTAGATTGGGATATACACTCTTTATTATTTCCTTAAATCTTCAGAAAATTCTTCAAAGTTTATGATGTTATCATCAATGAGAGAAAGTGAGGTTGTGTGGGAAAATAATCACACAGCAGGTAGTCTACTATGTAGGTCAGTCTATTTGACTTCTTCTACATTGTTCTTTCCATATTGTTTTTTTTTCCCCCACATTGTGCTGGTTCCTTATGAAGCACTTTAGGCACTGAGCTCAGATTGTTTGTATTCATTTGTCCATTCACCCATTTATTCATTCTTCATTCATTCTTGTTTACCTTTAGTCATAGACTTTTCAATTCATAGATATATTTTCTATATCTTCTAGGTCTAGAATCCTTACACATGTATAATTATGATCCAGTTGTACTATCGGAAATTTCTAACTTAAGATGGAAGATATGACATAGACACACACTCTCTTATACACAAAGATTCAGTCACACATACACTACAGACTACCCATACTCCAACCACTGCAATAAGAAAAGCATAGCAGGCAAAGACTTTTGAGATTTTGATGAGAGAGATGGGTGTTAGTTTTGTCTCAAAGGATCACATGAAGTATGTCATGTGTTCATGTATAAATGTGTATGAATTTGGAGAGTGGGATTTTATGTGACTGAATTCTTGAGTAACCTTGAAAAGAACAGAATGTGGACAAAAACCTCAGGCTGTGCTAGGATGCCAATTCTCACCATATTCCTCATTGCCAGTCTCATATCCTCATGTACCTGCCTTTCTGTGTACCCAGATATCGGTACTGTTGTATAGGAGAGGACTCAGGTTTCAGGTTGTCTGTGGTTCACATGATGCTGCCTGAGTGCCTAGGTGAGCATCAGTGGTGATGCATGTCCACTGGTATGATTAGAATGGACAGAGAGTGCCGTCCACTGTCTTTTGATTGCTAAGGAACAACTACAAAGTGTCAGTGCCACACATTACCTGCCTGCCTTTCCAGTGTGTCCTCAGGTCTGCTGGGTCCTGCTCCACCTGGCTTCATCCCACAGACTCTGCTTCCTACCTGTGGCTAAAGCTACACAGGGCCCTCTCAGCAGCTGGGCTTGGGGTTGTGGCATGTGTGCAGTTGTGGGGCTCAGGCTGAGGAAGTGGAAGCTACCAAAGATGCTCTTTTGTAAGGCAAAATCATTTTATAGCTTTGGTTCAATCATATCTGGTAATATCTCATCAGCCAAAGCTAATCACATGGATAAGCACAACATCAAGGACAGGAGGGAGAGACAATAACATATGCTCACTGAGGTACAGGAATGAATGGTGTGAAAAATAATGTACCACATATACAATGAAGGAGAGGTAAAGATTATAGGCTCATGCCTATAATCCCAACACTAAGGCAGAAGTTTTGTGAGTTCAAGCCTAACCTGGGCAATTTAGCAATATCATGTCTTAAATCAAAAAATAAAAAGAGCTTGGGGTATAGTTCAGTGCAAAGGTCCTTGGATCAACCCCAGTATTAAAACAGCAAGAAAAATAACCATAATAGTAATTTTTTAAAATTTCAAATTCAGAAATTTAAAAAAGGCTGGGGATGTAGCTCAGTGAAAAAGTTGAAGTTCAAATCCCACTTCCAGAAAAAAAAAAAAAACAAAAAAACGTGAAAAGCATCATACAAACTCTTAAGACAAAAATCTAGAAATGAGAAAAGTATAAACACGCTTGAAGAAGACAGTAAGGTATTATATTGTGTTTTAACTGGCAATAACAAGGCACTTCAGAAACCTTATGTATCACATACCAAAGATTCTTGTATATAACAGATCAGAGTAGGCAGAGACTAACTAGAGGTAAAGGGAGTTATTATTGAATCACCGTAATAATGAACATCTAAAATGGGGGAGGTAACAATGGAGACATAAAGGAGAGGAAGATGTGATGGGTATTTCTGATACCTAATTAGTCAGTCTTGGCAATTCACTGGATGTAACAGCAGGCAAAAGGAATCCAAAGTGGTGGTTCTATTGAGTCCCTTAGACAACAGAGGATGTTAATCAGATATTGAGGTGAGAGGGGAGGATCTGAAGCCAGGGTACTCTGACAGAAATAAAAAAGTCAGGTATGGAAGGACTTTGGAACAGAGGATGATGAACAGTGACCTCTGATGAGTAGCTGGGAAGTCTTGGAGCTGTGAAGAAGGGCCAGAGAGCAAACATGTCGGTGTAACAGAGCCCAGGATATGAGGATAGAGAAAAGGTAGCAATCAGATTTAAGAATGGAGGGTGCCCTAGTGAACTCCAAGTGCAGGAGGCAGATATGAGGCAATAGTGTACAGGTTAAGGGTGCAGATAAGTGATAGTAGTCACTTCTTGCAAGGACTTTGATAGTGACAACAAAGCAAGAGCTTGAAGAAGACATGAGGGAGGGAAGAATTTATTGCTATAATTAGTGTTGTCATGTGGGATTCTTTGAACAGTCCCAAGATAAGAGAAAAGGACAAGAAGTGGTTTAAAGATACAGAGATACAATGGCTATTGAGAGCCAGGGCCCAGCACTGTCAGGAGAGGGTGACTATGGCTATCTAGCTGTTATTCTGAACTAGGGTCACCTACTTTTTGCCTCAGGCTATATCTGACTTCTAACTACTAGTCTTCTAAAACATAGAGGCTCTTGTTCACATATATCAAAGTTATGGTACAAACATTTTTGTAAATCATTACTGTTTTTAATCATTAAATTGGTGGAAAAAGAAAAGGAATTATGGGCCAATAGGACTGTGCTCTTCACTTGCCTCTCAGTGTGGCTATGGATTTACTAGTGATTAGAGAGGGTATATGGAGCCTACTGCCAACACAGTTATTTTAAATTAGGTAGAGAAATGCAGCATAATTGATAGTGACTAACTTTCTGTGCTTTTTTTTTTTGGTACTGGGGATCGAACTTGGGACCTTGCGGTTGCGTGGCAGGTGCCGGAACCACTGAGCTAAATCCCCAGCCCAGTTTCTGTGCTTTTATAAAACAGAAATGACTGCCAGTATTTAAATTAGATAATTATAAGGATATATCACTTCCAAAGTAAATCAGTTTTAAAAGAATATTATTTGCTGATTAAAGTATGTTATATGCATATGTGAATATATTAAAATGAAACCAGCTGTTCTATATAACTGACATGCACTAATAAAAAAATTAAAGTTAATTTTATTTGCACTGTGCTTATGGGATGCAGCATGGTACACTTTTTTTCCTATCATATTTGACATCCCTTTAAGTATTATTGTAGTTTTTTTTTATCCTCAGATTTCAATTTCTGACCTCAATTTGGTATTTCTTGTCAAAAATGTACAGTGTGTAAGTGCTTTAAGGCCCTACTGGAAAGGTAAGTGTGCCCAAGTACATCAATGACACACATCACCTTCTTTTCAATTCTAGTACTACATGTGGAAATCATAATATACAGACTTTAAAATGTGTTACATACTCTAAAACTGATGGCAAGTTAAACTCTATTTAGTATCCAGTATCCCAAACCCTATTTGGTATCTAGTGCTTGCTTGCCATTTTCTTATGTTCGTGTATTGCTCCTAAACAGAACTGTGATCTGGAACAACAAAGCATCGTTCACATTGTGCAGAGGCCGGGAAGGAAAGATCAGGAAACAGATCCAACTGGAAGGGAAAAGACCAGAAATACTTTGGGAGCCTCTTCCAGGGAGTCCAAGAGCTTGACACGGGTGGACCTCAGCAGCTCCATCCTGCCAGCAGATTCTGTGGGTCTGGCTGTCATTCTGGACACTGACAGCAGGAATGATTCAGCAGCAGTCAAAAGCCCAGGTAATTGTAATGAATCTGTCTACTGCTAGTAAAACACTTTGTTTAGTAAAGTCTCCATGGAGAGTGGCCTCACTAGATACATACCTGGTTATATAAGTTTTGAATTAGAGTTTCTGAGTCACTTCAAGGAGATTCCACTAGAAGGAGAGCAGTAACATAAAATTTGAGGGAAATACATGCATAACAGATACAATGGAACAAGTTTCAAATTTAAAATGAACATAAGAAGTGGGTGGAGAAGGTGTAACTACCATAATAACACTGATTTTTTTTTTCTGTTTTGAGGAGCTAGAGTGCTGGGGACCTGTGATAAATTGTGTTATGTTTTGAATCTGTTATTAAGGTGCAAGCCTGACCCTCTCACATTCTGCTTTTCTTACCTTCTTAAAATATATTTTGTTTGATTCTTATGATACAGAGAAACTTTTAAAAGTAGAAAGAAGATTTTAGAGATAATTTTAGCCACTTTAAGTGTTCTTGGCCCACATATAGTGTCAACAAAATCCCTAGTCTGAAGACAGTCTTCTTCATCTCTGTGCTGCAACCTCTTCTAAGTGCTTTTCTTTGGTAAAGGGATTGTCTGTGCATTTATGCTGTTATAACAAAGTACTCAAGACCAGTAATCTATAAACAACAGAAATGTTTTTCTCAAAGTTCTGGAAGCTGAGCAGTCCAAGATCAAGGTGCTAGCAGGTTGGGAGTCTGGTGAGGGTCTTGTTTCTGCTTCTAAAATGGCACTTTATTGGCACTTCCTTCTTATGGTGGGGATGAAGGCTATATCCTCATAAAATGGAATTGAAGGGAAAGCACAGTGATCATTCTATCTACTATTTCTCAAAATAACCAGCTGAAAATAGTTTTTAGGGCAGACACATATTTTTGGTAGAATGTCCTTGTTTTCTACACACTGAAGGTGGAATATTCTCTTGTTTGATTTATAACTGTGAGTCATGAGTTCATTTTTATAAGACATTAATCCCATTCACAAGAGCAGAGCCCTCATGACTTAATCACCTCCTACAGGCTCCATCTTTTAATACTGTTACATCATCTACTTAGTGTTAAAATGACTTCTGGAGGAGAAAGACAATCAGACCACAGCAGATGGTCATCCTTTTGTAATTTTGACGATATTAATGTGTATTGCATAGTATTTTATTTCTGATATAAGTAGTCAAAGACAGGATTAATTTTTGACTGTGTGTATAGAAAGCACAAAACAACTGACTTCACCAGTTAGGTAGAAGTTTATTTCCTTTCCAAAGGCCACAGTTCAAGACAGACAGTCCTGGCCTAGTCTAGACTTAACCATAGCAGGGAGTCCTGAGACTATAAAGATGAAAGCCCCAAATAAAAGGAAATACTTGTGCTAAAATTATAGATAAAGTTTAATAACATTTTAAAAATCATTGATGTGCTTGCAGAAAAAGGATAATTTCCAAGGACAAATAAAAAAGTAGAAACAACATCACTCACAGGTATCTTTAAATAAAGGAATAGATAAACCCAGAATCTAAGTCCACAAGCTGATGTTCTGATATTCTCAGGTGATTGTGTATGAAAGGAATACTGTACCTCACATATGCTGGGTTCTAAAGAAGTAGAAAAAAATCTCTGAGAAATGGGACAAAAAGTTTAAAATGGGAAAAATGTGATAAATGTAAGCATATAAACCCTAGCAATGTCTATATGGTCCAGATGAGAAACTAATATAAATATTGGACCTAGACTGATGATATACCTGTTGCATCCCTCAATGAGTCTGGAGTCCCCAGCCCACTGTCAAATTTTCCCAGCCCCCCCCTTCTCTGATTTAGAAAGAGGAAGAGGAGTCAGAAGATAGTCCAAAGCAAGAGTAAAGTTTATTTACAGAAAGAAGAGAAAAAGAGATACAAAGCCACTTCAAAGAGTGGGGACCCAGAGCTGGGCACTCTCTGAGTATGGCCAGTGGTCCTGTATTTGTGGGACTGAGGTGGTGGTCCTTCCCTCTGGGGGCAGCCCCACCTGACTGGTGGATCTTTCCCATTGCTAGGGTTTTGGGTTGGGTTTGGGGTCAATATTGCAACAGTTATGGTGGGCAGTGTTACAAGAGCATTGCTGATTGGTTGTAAATTACATTCTCTGGTCACTGTAGAGGTTATTCTTCTTATAAGTTCTAAAGGGCCTGTGTCCTTTTTCTGACCTTATCAAGGGGGTCTCATCTGCCCCTACACATCTGTATGATGATACATCCCTATGGTGCTGATACATCAAGTAGCACATACATAAGATCATAGAACACACTTAGGTGGTATGACATTGATGCCCTCAGAGAAAAACAGTCCTTCTGAAGGGGCTGTCCTGCTCCAGTCCTATAAATCAAACAGAGAGTATCATACCTTGCGTGTATGGGTTACCAGGGTATGCCATCCCAAAATATGCATAAGGATTATTTTAAACTGGTTGTTTTGAGAATTATTAAAAACAGTAGAGAGGCCGGGGATTTAGCTCAGTGGTTCCACTGCCTGCCTGGCAAGCGCAAGGTCCCAAGTTCGATCCCCTGTACCCAAAAGAAAAACAGTAGAAACTCTGAAAATAGAGAAGTTACCTATCTACAAGGAAACACACATCTATGTTAAGGAAATCTCTATTTGAAAGGGCATCTCTCTCTTTCTTTGAAGAGGAGAACTGAATCATTAGAGACTCTTAGGGAGAAGAAGGCATCAAATTAAATCTGCATAACAAACCTCACAGTTGTTCATTGTGCTTTTCTCAGTCACTTCTCTGTAACTGGTCTGTGGACAACTTTCTATCTTTAGTCTTTACCTGAAGATGGTGTTTAAGCCAGAATTCTAGGCTGTCTCCCAGGGTATTAACCAATAATAGATACATGAGAGTCATATAAATATGTTTCTGTTTGATTTTCTCTTGTTAATCTGCTATTGTTACAGGGATCCTAGATAGAAATTATGAAAGGCAGAAGGAAAATAATTTTTTTTTCTTTCCCTACAAGTAGAAATCAAAACACATCGTAAGCTGAGAGGTTAAATGCTCCCTTAATTTTGAGAAAAAAGCTGAAACTAGAATATGAAACAAATTATGTTTTATGGAATTAAAGTATGTGTTATTTCCTTTTCTCTCATTGCTGAAACAAAATACCCAACACCCAAAGTTAGAGGGGGAGGGGTTTATTTGGCTTACAGTTAATAGAGGTTTCAGTCCATAATCAGCTGGCTCCAAGGCAGGGATGGCAAACAAGCATCCCAGAGGAGAAACAACATGGCATGCACAAGGTAGCAAAGGCAACAGGGACTTTAACAATGTCTTTCTGATCCTTTTTATCTTATTCAGACTACTGGAATTAGGGCAGTGTCAAACCAATCATTCATGTGTAGTAGTTTAGTAATCACATGTCCTTAATCCCAGCATCACGCATTCCAGATTCAGCTACTTCTGACTGCAGGAGGCTTGGGGGGGGCATCCAGACCCGAACTATAGCAAAGTATAAAAAGAAAAGAAAAATAAAACTCAGAAGAGAAAACAGACATGATGGGGGAAAGTAGCTGTTAAAAAGAATATAATATTAGCTATTGGGGTGAAAAAAATTCTTGAATCGTGGTTAAAACAGAAAATTGAGCAATGCTAAAGAGAAAATTAAATTGAAGATGGACCTGAAGGAATGGCACAGGTTGTAACATGGACTGAAATGTAAGTTTAGCAGACCAGGAGTTTGAAATGAGAGGGCCCAACATATATTCCTGTTCTGATAAGAATTCTATGATAGGAGAACAAAGGATGAGAGGAGGGAGAATTTTCTAGAAGAATGGCTAAGTATTTCTAGCATGGATAAATCCTTTGCTTCAAGAGTCTCAAGCAAAAGACATGCGTGGATCTTGATCAAGATAAAAATAAACTCACTTAATAAAGGAAGCAAAACACTAAGGACCAAGAAATCTTAAAAGCAAATGAAGAAGAGATTACCTAATTGAAACAATAATTTGGACAGCTCCCAACAGAAATAAAGAAGAAAATGGTAGTGAAGTAATATTAAACTGGTGAGAGGAGCATCTTTTAGAATCTGTACTCAGCAAAACTATTGCTCAAGAGAGGAACTTGTGCTTTGAGTGGAACATTGAGATGATTTACTTTAATTTGAAAGAACTGCTGAAGTATTTACTATGGGGAAGAATGAGTTTGCACCCAAGATGGAGAAATGCAATCCAAGGGAAAATGCCCAAAAAATAAAAAGGTAAATAAGAATCGATCTAAATGAGTATTGACGGTAAATTTTATTGTCAATTAGTTTGATGGGTACAAAAGCAAGGTGGACTCAAAGTAGCAGATACAATGACATTTAGAAAAAACCATAATAATAAATTAACATGGAATTATGATTAACTTCTCACTAGTGATCAGAAAGATGAATATTAAAGCAACAATATTATTGCACCCTTCCCTGTTGAGCAAAATTTAACAGTCTGACATATTAAGTATTGATTAGTATGTAGCACAACAGGTGCTTTGTTGTTATGGTATGGATGTCAATTGTATCAGCTGCTATAGAGAGCAATTCTATAACTTTGAAGTTATTAGTGAAGTTTAACAGATTCTTATTCTGTGATAAGAAAATAGCTTCATACATGATCATAATAGCACCACTTGAGGTAATGAAAAATAGAAACAATATAGCTGTCTTTTTCTTGGAGCAGGTATTGGTGGGGGTGACTTCAGGACCTTCTCACTGAGCTACATTTGTAGCCCTGTTTAAAATTTTGAAACATGGTCTGACTGTCACTAAGTTGCCCAGGCTAGGCTCAAATTTGGGATCCTTCTGTCTCAGCCTTCCAGAATGCTAAGATTACTGGTGTGCATCATCACACTTGGATAAAACAACTGTGATTAAATAGGGGACTAGATAATCAGTGTTTTATAATAGGCTGTAATAAGCCTATGAAAATTCCTTAGTTAAAACAAATGGCTTAGGTCTATATGTATCAACATGGATAAATCTCCAAGTCAAA